AATATACATAAAACGTCTAGTTTATTATTTCAATACACGTTTTCATATTTATTGCCTTGTTTATACTACGCGATTTAACTTTACTTTTAAAAATAATTGCGCTTTAAATCTATATATGATTATTCCTTGAGCAGAATTCAACAAGAAGCGTGTATGAGAATCACACGGGATCCTCAGTGCCACTTTTTCAGTGGCAATTCAGTGCCACTTCTATATTTATGCCAAGTGTCCTATTTATTTAATTTGTCATGTGTTGTTTTATTTAAATTTCTTCTACTATCACGTGATAAGTGAGATTGGCACTGAGTAATGACATAGAGGATCCCAATTGAAGAATAGGATAAGAATGTGATCGAGGCTGCTACCCGGTGGCGACGTAGCTTATATTAAGTTTTACAGCAGAATTTTACATACTATGCCAATTTCCCTGCAAGTTTTGTGACCACATCTATATTGCCCAAAATGCATTCACAGAAGGCTACTGATCAAGACAAAGTTATTCCTAATATATATGTTCACAATTAATTTGTTTATTTGAACATTGGCAAATATTGAAGCTCAACTGCCTAGCTAGTGGGAAAATATTAATAGGTCCAGAATCATTATAATTTCAATTAACCAGATTTAAGTTGTCCTATTGTTGCTAAAAAAAAAAAAGTCTATTTCCCCTGAAACTGGTTTCACTCAATATCTTTTCTATATTCAACCAAAGATTTTATGCCTAATAGGACCTGTTGGCTGGGGTTGAACCTAGCCTATTATCCTAATGCAAGGATGCCAATGTTGAGGAGACCAATGGGGAGATTGTTAAAGTTTTATCAAAATTGGAACCATTAACAAGTCTGGCCACAACTTCTTCAATAATCTAAATCAAGTTCTCAAACTATATATCAAAAGGTCCTATTAAATCCTCAGAATTTTTTAGATAGATCCCTTTTTTCTTCTTCTTTATATATCATGAGGAAGGTTGGACACTTGGATGTATCAATTTGGTTGAAGTGGTAATCACAATCGATTGCAAAGGTTGATTACTACTTTTGATGCTTTTTGTTAATACGACATCATTATTTATCTTCTATTTCTATTGATAAAGTGCTCGGGAATGGTAGGTAGATAATTTATGCAAACCATTCTAGCAGTGTAGACTATGCCGTTGTATTATACTAGATCACTGACTAAAGTCCTTAATCCGCAGAATGATTGTTTTCTTGCACAATATACTAATGTTTGTGCAAAATAGACTAAATTAGGGAAATCATATTTGTATCACACTTAAAATAACAAAAGGGTATTTTTTTTTTTTTGTTTTAAGACAAAGGTAGATACTACTAAATTATTTAATTAGATAGCAAATAACCATTGCGTGTTGGGTTGTAAAATAGGAGGGATTATAAGTAAAAAATTTTGAATTCAAATCCTCTCACTTAAAAAAAAAAAAAAATCCTAGCAGCATAGTCCTTAGTTATTACTCGCCTGACAAAAAATGGAAGATCCTTAAACACAGTACACTAGTAGCGTAGTCCTTAGCTATTACTTGCCTAACAAAAAGCCGCGGATTCCTAAACACAGTACATTCATATTGCCTTTAAACACAGTACATTCATATTGCCTTAATAAAATAGTAAAATAGTCCTTAATTATTACTTGCCTAACAATTCTGTTTGGATTCATCGGTTTTTTAAATACTGTAAAAATTTTTAAAAAATATTTTAAAAGATACTCTAAAAAGTAGTCTAAATTTTTTAATGTTTAAAAAATATCCCAAAAACTCTACTACTATTAAATATCTCAAAATATACTTTAAAAACTCTGCTACAGTAAAATTTTTCAAAAATACTCCAAAAAACAGATAATCCAAACGGAGTCGATTGTTACTTGCCGAACCAAAAGTGGAGGAACTATTTACGTCCCGCGTCTATCCTTGGCTATTACTTGCCTAATAAAAAATGAAGGATCCTTAAATACAGTACATTCATACTGCCTTGATAAAGTAGTTATATATTTAGATAAATTATTGGATCCTTAAACATAGTACATTCATATTGCCTTGATAATTAGTAGCATAGTTATGTAAAATACCAGCTCCAAAATTACTTTCGCGATAAAAAGCTTTGATAAAGTAGTTGCATAGTTAGATAAAGTATCGGTTCCAAAATTACTTTCTTGATAAAAATGGGAAGAACAAAAGGGTGTTTTAATCAAGGATCTTTTCATTGTACCAAGCAACAAATGGCACTAACTAATGAACAGTTGATAGGTTACAAGATAAAATTATAAAGAATTTTGTACGTGACAATTGGAGGTGGAAAGGATATCGAAAAGAATGAAAGGATGAAAAAAATAAATAACAGGTAGTAAAGACAAAATGAATTGGAAGGTATTCATAACATTCAGAAAGGCTCCAATTTTCCTTAAAAGAAAAAAGAGAAAGGCCCAATTTCTTCAGGTCAGTTCATAATTTGGACAAATAGTTCATGAACTTATCACCTAAGATTCCAAGATCGAGGAATCTAAGTTTGTATATAATTTACACCCGCTGTCACTCTGTCAGTGTGGTTCTGCAATATTATAGAAAAAGAAAGGGGGAAGCTGAAAGCTCACAAAATTATATAAAATTCCATGAGAAATGGTTGATCGCCACGTTACCATGCATGTTTTGTCTATAAAGTCCCCGTCTAGATCATTGGGGTTAGGTCCAAAGTGAGTTCTGGTATCCCAGTTCCCAATCAATCAATCATATATGGCTTCCCCTCCAGCTTCTTTTCACAAAATATTCATCCCGTTCCCAAGCCCTAAACATCAAAAGTATCCTCCTGTTAGATCCCAGATATGTCGTGATGAAGGTATTACTTCTTCTGAATCTTCTCCCCTGTCATCTTCATTTAAATTCTTGCAAGTTTAGCTCACTGCAATTGAGGTTACCATCCCAGAAGCTTAACAGGAATATAATCATATATGCAGTGTCTCCGGTATAATGGCATTGCATGCATGCATGCTTTTTTCCATTCTTTTCATTGCTTTCTGCTAAGTTGGCGCATCCCACTTAGCCTTTCTGTTCGTGATAACGAGGATGAGAGATTATGTATAGTTCTTCTAATTGAACCCTCAACCAAACATGGCAAGAAAAACGTTGAACTGGGATAATAATTAAGGGTTTGTTTTAAAAACATTAGACATTCAAGATTTCTTATGTGTTTGGGTTTTTTTGCAGGGAACTCAGCAAATATAGTGGACGGAAACCTGAGTGTTCTGAGACAGAGAATTGAGGCGGTGAAGATGAAAGAAAAGCTGAAGACATGCTTCAGACATGAAAAGGGCGGTTGGAACTATAAGGTTGGATATGATGATACATACAAGAGACGTATTCTGTTGGTCCAATCCTTAAAAGTTGCAACTTCTGTTGGCAGTACACTTGTTCTTGTCTTCTTCAGTGGCTCTATTTTCATCTTCCTTTACTCTATTCTTATTCAAATTTGTATCCATACTTGAGAAATGGATACTAATTCTTGATGCTAGCTAGTTCTCTCTCTCTCTCTATATATGTATGTATTTGTTTTCTTGTACATGCTGTTGTGATTACTAGTCAAAAGGATTTCAGATGATAAGAAAGTAATTTTAGTTCAAAATTTCAGATCATTAGTGACGTATCACAATTCAGCTACTCAAGTTTCCAAGTGTAGGGCAAAGTAAAATTAATCCCATAAAATGATAATGAGAAATCTGCAAGGACATATACATGGCCAAAAAGTATATTAAAAAAAAAAGTTACCCTTGTGCGTATCCCATGTTTAGAAGACAAGAAAAAATTTCTAAAAAAAGCTATTTGGTACACGTACAGATATGATGTAAGGTTTCATCCTACTCCTGTAGATGCCAAAAGTTGGTTTGCTGTTGCAGTTTTGATGTATGAAATTCCAATTTAAGGTAAAGGACCAGATAATACTACGTACGTACTACTACTACTTGTCATCCTCTCGGCGCATTGGATTCAAATCCTAAGGAACCTACGAATTCAGGGTTTAAGAGGGCCAATGACAGGAGGACAGAAATCCCAGATGATGAATGTACACCAGCTGTTTTGCAGAATACGTGGAAACTCCTGCTTGATCTCTGTAAATTTTTTATGTTTTAGAAGCATCGTTTTCATGTTGCCTAACATGCACAAAGGGAAAGATTAATTTTTTTTTTTTTTTATGTTCTTCAAAATTTGTGGATGCCAAACTGAAGCTGTGGAATATCTTGTGTCGGTTTCGGGTTTTCTATGCATTCTACGTGTCAAGTCCCGTAAACCTGTACAGGCCAGTGCTCAGGTGGTAGACCTAGCAACAAATGAATAGACACATGCAGTTGTAGCATAGCACAGACGGATGTATGAAATCTATCTTGACTTGATGATGGAAATTTCCCACTCACATAGAACCAAGAGTTCTTCAAAAAAAAAAAAAAAAAAAAAATTTTTTAGGGGTTCGAAAGTTTTCATAAATAAAATACATTTTTTTTAAAACTTTCCTCTTTTAAGAGGTGAAAATAGTTTCTTTTTTCAGAGTCTTTTTGGTAATACTTTGTTGGTAATACTTAATAGTCATTTTGGGAAAAAAATTGACAAAAGTGAGAAAGTCTGTATGTTTAGTCTCGTAAAATAATGCCCACTAATTCCTTCTTTTATTTTTTTACCAAAAAATTATCGCAAGCATATATGGATGGCTATATGCTAAGACAGAAAAAAATCCAGTAATTATCCAACCGAAAACAGTGCTGAGAAATAAGTTGGTTGTACGTGGTCATTGGAGGTAGTCATATATATATATGGCCACAGTTGCATGTGCATGTAAACTCTAGTTCAATTCATAGCATTGCCTTTTATAATTGCAAAATAAAAAAGATGTCAAAATTGAAAGCAAATATTCCTGGCAATATAAATCGTTTAATGCAAAGTTGATAGTTCAACAAAGAGTTGACGTTTATTTAATAGATTCTAACATCTTATTCAATATACAAGTTCATTTGCTCTTCTGGTCACCGCGTAAACCCGAGAAATATCCTCGAGGATTTGCCTCAAATCCGACTCTTGAAATGTATGAGCCACCACCACCAGGCGCTTTCATATATCCACCGCCAGCACCAACACTGCCGCTGCCTTTAGACGAACCACCGCCACCGGAGCTTCCTTTCCCTCCTCCGTTGCCTCCCACTGCCTTTGGCTCCTCCTCCAGAACTCCCACCTTGACCCATTTTGAAGTTGCTCTTTAGCTAACAAGTTTGAAACAATTCAGATACCAGTGTATCACTAAGCTGCTCGTGGATGGATCATCATGCCAAGGCTGGTCAGTTTATATAGGCAAATTTTGATAAGAAGTGAGTCAAACGCTGTCTTGGAATCATCAACTCCATTAAGAAGGAAAAATTTTGTGATAGCCCAAATTAATGTAATGCATGCATGTTGAGAATATGTGGACTACTCGAATTCTGTAGGATGGCAAATTTAACTGGAATTCTGAAGCATAATAAATTCTGTAGAAACTGGGAGTGAGGGGTGGTGGGAGAGAAGTACAAAATACTACTCTCTCCGTTCAACAAGATAGGTCCATTTTTCTTTTGTGTTTATCCTGAATTATCGGTTTATTTTTTTTTTTTTGAAGTGTAGGTTAGTGTATGGATTTACTGCTATATCCATAGTTAAATTGTATCTTAATTAGTAAGTATGCTATTTTATTAGTCAATCATTTCACTATAAATAATAAATTAAATAGTGTAACGCTAAAACAAAACTATTAATAGTAGGGCATATAACTATATAAAAAAAGTACTAAGCAAAAAATGATTACATTAACTATTCTTCTTAATCTGTGTGAAAGTGGAATGAGTCTGTTAGAGGAAGTTGTATAAACAAACAAAACAAAAGTAATTTGAAAGTAGGATGGCGAGTTGATTTTCTTAAGATTGTTTTATTTTGATTTAAGATGTTTATCACTGATTCAACTGTAGCTATTTTTGTGGTTTTGTCAATAATCTTCAGGTCTAGCCTAAAAAGGGTGAAAATTCATTTTGATATATAATCTGTTTTTGGTCCTTTAAAGTTGACCAAATTATCAATTCAGCCCTTAAATGTGATTACATCATAGTTAAGCCCTCCAATTGGAAATTTTGTTCCAAATGATTCCTTCCATCAATTTATGTCTCAAAGCGAAGCCCTACTAACTTCAAGAAGTTTGAAGCAATTAATCTCCAAGTTAAATGAGTTAAGCATGATACAGTGTTGCTCTTCCAATAAAAAAAAAGAAAAAAAGAAAAGTTAATCTGCCAACTCAAATCTTTCAAAACTGATCAAAAGAGCACTCACTATCTTTTTCCTTTGTGTCTCATTAAAGCCCCTCCCTTCAAGAAGTTTGACGAAATTTTAATTAATAAACACATGTGAATTGACACAAAGCGTCATTTGGATCGAAATTTCCAGTTTTAAGTGTTTAGTTGAACTGGTAATTTGAATTGGTAAGTTGGTCTATTTTAGAGGGCCAAATTCAAATTCACCATATTTTTTCAATGCACCCAATCCAATTCATGGTCAAGAATAGAGTGCACAGAAAGATCACTCGGGTGTTTGGATTTGATGAGAGAATGAACTTTGTTGGTAATACTTAATAGAGTCCTTTTGGGGAAAAAATGACAAAAGTGAGAAAGTCTATATGTTTAGTCGATCTTGTAGAATAATGTCCACTAATTCTTCCCTTTTTTTTTTTTTTAAACAAAAATTTATCGCAAGCATATATGGATGGCTATATGCTATGCCTGAAGAAAATTCAGTAATTATCCAACCGAAAACAGTGCTGAGGAAACAGTTGGTTGTACGTGGTCATATATATATGGCCACAGTTGCATGTAAACTCTTAGTTCAATTCCTAGCTAGCATTGCCTTTTATAATTGTAAAACAAAAAAGATGTCAAAATTGAAAGCAAATATTCCTGGCAATATAAATCGTTTAATGCAAAGCTGATAATTCAACAAAGAGCTGACGTTTATTTAATAGATTCTAACATCTTATTCAATATGAAAGTTCATTTGCCCTTCTGGTCACCACGTAAACCCGAGAAATAGCCTTGAGGATTTGCCTCAAATCCGGCTCTTGAATTATATGACCTATCGTCACCCAGTGCTTTAATATATTCACCGCCGGCAATACCATTGCCTCCGCCCTTAGACAAACCACTGCCACCAGAACTTCCGTTCCCTCCTCTGTTGTCTCCACCGCTGTTGCCACCTTTGCCACCCATTCTCAAGTTGCCATTTAGGTAACAAGTTTGAAGTAATGCAGTAGTATAAATTGTGGTTCATTATCCAGATGATTATATCTCCCATCCTACTCCCAGGCAAAAAAAAAAAAAGGCAACGATTCGTAAGTAGGACGCTGAGTTCATTTTGTTAACAAGTGTTTTATTCTGGTTAAGATATTTATCATTCATGCTCTAATCAAAGATAGGATTAGAAATTTCAATTTAATCAATTTAATTTGATCATAGAGCAGCCGCTACAAAAATCCTTTTTTGTTTTATCCAATTCAAGTTCGTAAAATTACACTAACCTCCCCTGAAGTTAAGGTTTTGGTAACAAAATCAGTCAAAATTAGAAAAAAAAAAAAAAAAAAAAGGCATTGGAAAATTACTTTGAGAAGAGAGATAAAACTTTTATTCAAGAAATACCCTTATGCTTGTGTACACCTTGTATTGTAAAGGAATGAAAAACATATTAATAAAAGTAAGGGAATGTAAGTATAAATAGCTAAGAACCAAAAATAAGTACCAACTAAATTTCTCTACAAAGTTAGATCAACAGCTAGTGCATTGGATTATAATGGCTATTTTTTTTATCTTTACCATTTTGCATGTAAAGGCAATAAGGAGCATTAAGATGGATCTCATTTTCAATTAAAGCAGCAAAATTTGAGGTGGAAAAACAGTGATTTTCTGTGAAGTTTGCAAGTTGAAGGTAAAGTGTAGGTGCAGAAACTATAGCCTTGTCAAACTACAGGAGGAAATCATAAAATTCACCCACAACCTTTAGCATCAAAAACAAATATTGCAAGTTTAATTGTAAGGCAACTGTGAAGATTTTTAAAAGTACAAAATATCTAGACAAATTACTGTTTGGTGCATCAATTTTTAAGAGTGAACAAATATTTGGTACATCAATTAGCACCATTTTGAAATTGCAAGTTATTGCTCGTCATTTCAAAAGTTTTCTAATAGCTATTTTCATTAATTAGTTACTAACAGTTAATTACTATCCTAATTACTTAATTGTTAGATGTTAGTTTCCAATAAGACATAATATCTTAGGGTATATGAGTAATTTTTCTCAAATAAAACACTATAAAGGAGGTTAGTGTTATTTTGCAAATCTCAACGGAGACGAGTAAAATTGTTAGAAACCTCAAGAAAGGTTTGTGATATTTTCCTAAAAATAATAGAGGGACACGAGAGTAGTATGACAATTTACTATGCCACAGAATCCAAGTGACAAGGACTGGCTTTGAGAACGATCCGAAGGGCTACCTTTCTGATCTAAATGCCTATCGCTAAACAACATGTATATGCAAAGATAATAATGATTTGGATGACATTTTTGTCTTAATCATCTGATTACCTGTCACATGCAGGGCTAAGCTAATGATATGCCACTGGAACTTGGAAGGATTCAGCATAATTAAAGATATGTATGACATTAATGTCAATCTAATGCAGAGTCTACAAATTCAAACTGGTGCCAGGGCATATGATGAAGTATAGGATGATGACAATTTTATGGATGGAACATGGATTGAAGATTTCGGTTTCAAGACAAACTGAGAATACAGGGGACAAATAAAATAATATGTAAGTTTTGTTCATTTTTTTTTTCTCTTTATAGCTATACAAATTCAACATAGAGCAGGCCCAAATTGCGAGTACAAAATTGTCATACCATTGTGACTCGCATAGAAACTATTAGTGATTGAATACGGTTAACAAGCCACTGAGCCTAGCTCCCTGGCCACTAGGGAGGGATTTAAATCCTTCCTTGGGCTATAGATGACGGGTTCAAATTTCACCTGTAGCAAAAAAAATCCATGACACCATCTTTGGTCTAGTCAGGTTTGCACCATAGTTGTTAGGATCGCGATCCTACGATCCAACCTACGATCTTGATACGATCCTACTATTTAAATTAAATAACAATTTTAGTATTTTGACTATATCTTTGTGTAGAAAACTCGAAATTGAGTGTTGTTTGTTGCGTTGTAAATTATATTTAGAGTGCTTTAAATCCATGTAAATAATTAAGCCCAATTCCAAACCTAGAAAATTTGATGAATCTTTAAATTTGACTCATATAATTCACTAAAGTGAATAAATGATCTTTGTTATAGGTTATCACATGGAGCTAGTGTTTTGTGTCTTTATTATAATAAATTAATATGGTTTAGAGCCTTTAGAAATGAATTAACCTTAATTAACAATATAATTATATTGATTGCACATGAATTACATTATTTGTTACTATATTTATGAATTGCAAACTTAAAAATTATAAATATGACAATTTATTATATTTTTTGTAAGATCTACCGATTCTATGATCCGATCCTACGATTCAATCTTGCAAACCAAAAAACGATCCTAGGTAGGATCCCGATTTTGAAAACCTTGGTTTGCACATCTATTAGTTCCTAACACACAAACCTCCTTAGGCTCCCTCTTCCTATAGATTAGGATAGAATAACAAAATAGTACTCCCTCTCTCCTATTTTGATAGTGTTAGTTTTTTTTTTTCAAATAGTTAAAAAAAATTAATTAACTTTATCTAAAGAGTGCATCTAGTCTATTATTTTCCTAAAATACCCCTTACATTAATATTAATAGTATAACTAAACATTATACCTTTACATTAGTGGTAACAACAATATTGATGAAAAGTTGCACCATTCAAGCCATGAATCAAAACAATTAATGAATAAAGTAGTTTATATTCACTGATAATAAAGTACACTAAATAAGGACATTTTAGAGAGATTAAAAGTTAACTATATTTTTTAACTGGAAAGTAGAATATAATTTGGGACGGATAAAAAAAGGAAAACAAGAATATCAAAATGGAAAGGAGAAGACAGTATTTAGACAAATTCTCATCAAGGGTTTTGCGTGTCATTATCAGCAACAATTAGAACTCAATTTTAACTCTCTAATTGTATATTATGTAGGCAAAAGTATAAGGTTCTTTGAACTCGACTTATTTTTAACAAGTAATGGAGGCACAAACAATTAGTAAGACCTTACTTATACAAGGCCACTTTTACAAAAAGCCGAAGTTAACATGCTTACGGGCAGTGCATGTTTCACCTCCTTCTTTTGGATTAGACTATTTAACACTGGAAGTATGGACACCTCTGTTTGAAAAGGGAAAACTAAAATAACTAGGAAAAAATAATATATAATTAAGGGTATCTGTGTACACATACTAACAATTATTAACTTTTCTTGCATTTTTATACTTTTCCTAGTTAATATTGTCTGCCCTCACTTTGTATTTATTTACTTTTCCTAATTAATCTTATATGTTAGAAAAATATGATAACTAATATGTATCTTAACGGTTGCCCTGTAGACAAACCCTACAATGAATTTCATTTACCTTGAAAAGGAAAGCAGATTTGTGATTAAATAATAGGAGGATTTAAACAACGGGAGGAAAAAATTGGCCCATCTATAAGAAGTTTCATCTTGGACCTAGTATCCATTTGGACAAACAAAACCCCACTTCACATTCCCCCTTGGACGTTCAAATGGCGCTCTCTTACTGGACCAGTCCAAAATAAAGTTTCTGGACAATTACCTTATAGTGGCAAAAGTATTAAGTTACACACTCTGAATCCTATATCTATCGAAAACTAGTCCCTAGCCCAAATGGTTGTAGTGTTCGTTTTGAAATCGAATTTGTGACTGAGTAAAACATGGAAGAATTTAAATGACAAGGCATAAAATTAGGACACTTAGCTTATTATGGCAATAATATTTCTAGGTGATACTCAGAATCCTCAATGAACTGAAACCGAGATCCTAGCCTAAATTGTAGGGCTTTATTTTCAAAATTGTCCTTTTAAGTCTCTCAACGGATTGAATTGGCTCATAAAACTTAGCACAGTGACACAAACTTTGAAGCAAGAATTTCTTCAAAACAATATACGAAAGAAAAGAAAAGTTCTTGGGAGTGAGTTTAACATCGAGAGAGGAAGATGGCAGAACTCCCAATTGAGATAGTGACTAACATACTATCAAGGCTTCCATTGAAAGCCCTCTTCAAATGCAAGTGTGTCTGCAAGACATGGTGCAACTTACTATCGGATTCTTGGTTCGTGAAATTGTGGGAAACTAAATGGAGAAAACTCCGTTTCTTTTACGTAGAAGATCTAGCATGTTCCCGTGATGGAAATCGCTGTACCCTCCAATTTACATCCGCAGATGAAGAAGGCTGTAGCATTGTGCAAGAATTCACCAAGGAAGGAAAATACTATATGCCTAGAGGAAAACACTATACGGATAGAGGACTGAACATGGTGTTGGCCCCCTGCAACGGCCTACTGTGTATTTACAGAAGCTACTTTGTATTGGGGATGATTGGGCCTTTTTATTTATGTAATCCTATAACTCACCAATTTGTAATCCTCCCAGAGTGCTCTCCACAAACATGGGGTCATGCAATTGGTTTTGGACATGTACCTTCTACGGGAGAGTACAAAGTTGTGAGAATATTCACTGCAGAATTTGTGCACGGAGACGACATAGACGGTGATTTCGGTTGTGAAATCTTTAGCATTAAACGTGAAGGTAATTATTATTCATCATCAGATTCTTGGAGAGTCATTAATCGATCCAAGTGCCCATATCCAATTCGTAATACCGCTGTTTTTGTTAATGGACGTCTTCACTGGGTAGTCAATACTGACTGTCGTTTTCCACCAGATCATGATAATGCCATAATTTTCTTCGATTTGGCTAGTGAAACTTTTGGGTATGTCCCCAATCCTCCGGATTACCAGCATGAACAAGAAAGTTCCATTTATGTGTTGGATTTGGCAGGTACCCTTTGCCTACTTAACTTTGATGAAAATCTGATTCGACTGTGGATGCTTGATGATTATGACAAAGGCGTCTGGTCCGGAGCACATTACATCATGTTAGACCCTCTGCCTTGGGAAGACGGTATAAGCTTTAAATTTATGGTGGGCAGGGAATTATTGATGGCACCTTGGCATTGTAAATACAGACTCAACTACAACATTGACACGCGAACTTTTAGAAGAGTTGAAAAGCCTGAGCCTGCAGGATCTCATGGGTGGACTTTTGGATACTACTGGGAAAGCTATGAAGATCTGATGGAAAATCACAAAGTACTAGCATTATGTTAGGAATCTTGGTATTCTTTTCGTTTTTTTCCCTTGTTTATCTACTTCTGCTTGTTCTTTTTTTTATTTTTTTTCCTCCTTTATGAGGATAGCAATTCACTTTTGCCATGTTTAATATATATTTCAATTCTTGTATTCATAAATATTTTTGCCAATTTACTTACAGATCATAGAGAGATGAGATGAGTTTTCTAGCTAGTCGCAACATAGGTAAATTTGCGTTGTTTTTTTTTTCCCCGAAATTTGCTGGATAGAATGCTGGAGCTCTGGAAAGGGAAAAGAGGATGAAGGAGGATTCCATGCTTCTACTAAGAGGGTTCGACTCTGTTGCTCACTCACTGTCTCAGCTCTCCGACAATCTGGAGAATGCCCTTCAGGTAACTTCAAAGTCAACTTCACGAATCCTTTTTCTTTTCTTTTCTTTTTTAGGCAACCAACTTCCTGAACATCCTTATCAGCATCCAACTAGATTCCTGACTAATGTCTAAAGCACACATTTTCCATTTCTGTCCTAATTAATTTCCCTCTTGATTAAATGTATCGTATGGTTGATTGAGCCTTTATTACTTCCTCTGTATATCAAACATAAACTGGGACCGATTTTGTAAAATTAGTTATAAATTGGAATGAAAAGTGATGGGAATTTCCCCTACGGCAGGGAGCAAGAGATCTTGCAAAACCGCCCACATCGACTGAAATATTGAATTGTACCTTGGAGAGGGCAAAAAATGAACAGCAATTGCCACTGAAGAAGGAAGATGAACATGGAGAAGAAACTGAAGGATAGAGTAATGAAGAAGGAAAGAGGGGACATAAGAGAAAGTTTGATACTCAAGGATATTATGATCAAGATCAAGAGGATGTATCCCTGAAGGGAAAGATGAAGAGCTCAAAAGAAAGGGGAAACCTCAGCAAAGCGAAAAATGTTGGTATCTATCAGATTTAATTTTGGGATATTCTGATCATTGAAGAGTTTCTATTGCAAGAATTTTGTAGTGACAGTTCACTTTGTGCCCCTCTCAATTTATCTATCTTTGTGTGTGTTTTTTGAAGCTTGCAATTTCGATGGCAACAAAAGCTGGTGCCCTTGCAAGAGAACTGAAATCCATAAAATCAGATTTATGCTTCATGCAAGAGCGCTGCACTCTATTAGAGGAAGAAAACAGGAGGCTTCGTGATGGATATTCCAAAGGAATAAGACCAGAAGAAGATGATCTGGTAACTTTTCATTTTATTGTGCTCTTCTGCATGACATAAAATCGTAGACACAAAGGGCCAAAAAATAAAAAATAAAGATCTTTGTTCTTTCATTAGGTCTATTTCTCGAGTTCTTCTAAATTTCTAATGTCTATAAAGATAATGTATGACTTGGAGTCTAGGATATGCGCATAATGTTTATCTAATGTCCAGGTAAGGCTTCAATTGGAAGCACTCCTTGCTGAAAAATCAACTGGGAAATGAGGATGCAAACTTGGCCCGGAAAACCGGTGCCTTCACCAGCTAGTAGAGTACCACCAGCTCACCACGCAGGATCTGTCCGCGTCTTATGAGAACTTGATAAGAGGAATGTGCTTAGACTTTTCATCACCAAATTCTGTACGAGAAGAAGAAGAAGAAGAAAGGTGCAGAGGAGTTGATGGTACTGAGGCTTCTATAGAGACTCTGAGGCCAAATATTTTGGGATTCTCCTAGTCACTGGATGCATACTACGATGAACCATGACTGAGTCTAATTGATGGCTGCGGTAAAAACTTGCAATGTAGATTATCGACGATCCTTTCAACAGATGGGTTTTGTCATTTCATTTAATTTTTTTATTTTGTATTTTTTTTCCGACAGAGGGATCGTCTTTGTTAAATAATACCCTATATACTTATTATTGTGTGAGATGCTCCAATTAAGTTCAATTGACAACCGAAAACAGAGCAGTTTTCAGTTCACTGGTAGAACAGTGGAAGACTCAGAAAACCGAGACTGGCGTTCCAATGCTCCTATTTAGGCAGCAGAGTCAATGCTTAGGGAAAAACCGAGCAGCAATTTGAAGAGATCTTTTGAAACATGCGGTGACTTCTGCAGGAAACGAATTTAACACTAGAACTATCGGCACTAGGTGTCATTAAATGCCATATTGAAAATGCTTGGAAGCCTCAGATACACATCTTATATGAACTAACCTCGGGTATATCGGGTATTTCCTAGATAGCAAACCTCGGGTTAGCCCACATGAACTCAAATTCTGGTTCCAAAAGTTGCTCGGACAAAAAAGAAAAAAAATGAAAAAAAAAAAAAAAGCTTCTTGGGCAGTCAAAAGCTGCTTTCACACTTCAATTCACTTCTTCTTCCTAACATATTTCTTATGAGTTGCCCCAAATGTAGACCTCCGTTCATCTCCCAACAACGTCCATCCTTTTCTCATACTGCAGACAGGTAAAAAAGAAACCAAATGTCAAACACAGATCATATAGTAGGTTGCAGCACCACATACATAGAGGCCTTGTATCAGCATGCATAAAAGAAGGATTACCAACACCTACAAAGACTCGAAAGCACAAGCTGTCTGCGAAGAGAAAGTAATGTTCCCGCTAGTTAACAAGAAGACTAGAAGAACCCATGAGCCAAGACGGGTTCAGCTAGTACAGTATTTTTCCACATATCTTTTATGATTCTGCGCGTACAACCAGAGGTGCAAACTAAGCTGAGTCGAAGCGGGAAAGCAGGTTACATATTGCAAAAGAATTAGAAGCACTCTCACACTACTTTACAGTGTTTGACGAACCAAGTACTCCATAAACAAGTACTTCCTCAGAATTGCACATTATGTAGTGCTTTATTAGAATATGGTAACCGAAGCTAGAAAGCTGTCAATTACCAGCGATTTGAGCAACACAGAAAGATAATATTACCATCAAGGCAAGAACTTGCTCAGGACATCCTATGGGAAAACTCATTACGCAAAAAAGTTTTTTTTAAGCGCTAGACTCATTATGCAAAAACTGCATGAAGCCCATTTACATCACAAATGAAAATAGTTTTCTTCCGTGATGACTAGAAAGTATGAAGTCTCAAGTGAAACGAGTCCGCACACCTGTCTAGACTAGAGCCAGCCAGAGAGGAGAAACGAATCCGGACACCCCTCTCTCTTCCGCTGCCACCAGCAACTTTATCCCTGTGCCTTTTCGTTTTTTGGGGTGGGGATACGTGTCTTTTAGTCTTCACTGAACTTTTTGCCACTTCTATGTAATATCAGCGAAATCTGAACTATCTTTAATCCTGTCTAGATTAGAGCCAGCCAGAAAGAAAAAGTTATCAATCACGTGACTGGACGCAGTTGAGAGGGACGTAGCATTAGAAACTTTCTTACCCTCTTACCAGATTCCGGATGCCACGTCTTTGATTGATTGACCCCTTTTTCGACATCCTACGGAACTTTTCTCCAATTTATTAGGGATAATTTTAGAAACCACCCCTGATGTTCTTGCTAGTATTTAGATAAACTCTCATCAAGGGCTCTCCGCGTCATTTTCAGCAACAATTAGAACTCAAATTTAACTCACTAATCGTACATTATGCGAGGCAAAAGTATAGAACTGCATAACACCAAATAATCTTTAAGATTTTGGGAACTCTGCTTAATTTTGACAAGTAATTAATGGAGGCATAAACAGTCAATAATTACATCTTACTCTGGGATGTTCAAATACAGCTCTCTTTTTGGACCTGTCCAAAATCAAATTTCTCCGCATTTATCTCATAATGGCAATATTATTATCTCGAAATATCATAATGGCAATATTATTGAGTTATACTTAGAATTCTCAATCAATCGAAAGCCAGTCCCGAGCCCAAATAGTAGTTGTAGTGTTCCTAAGAAAATTGAAATCGTATTTGTTAGTCAATAATGGAAGGATTTAAACGACAAGGAATAAAATTAGGACATTTAACAGGAATATAATCATATATACAGTGTCTCCGGTATAATGGCACTTCATGCATGCCTTTTTTTTTCATTTTTTTCATTGCTTTCTGCTAAGTTGGCGCATCCCACTTTACCTTTCTATTCGTGATAACGAGGATGAGAGAATATATATATATATATATATATATATATATATATATATATATATATATATTTTTTCAATCCTCAAATTTTCACTTTAGAAACTAAATCTGTCATTGGAAAGCTAGCAAAACAAATTCAGAAACCAAAAAAAAAAAAAAAAAAAAAACTCCAATTTCTCCGCAATCTGAATTTAAACCTCAAATTTTCCTACCCCGTCTGACTCCAATTTTCTGCTGTCCCACCCCAACAGATCTTTCAACATTTGCAAAAGCCAAAGGTGGCTTCTTGTTCTCCTTACTGGTAGTGCTCCTCAGCAAATACCTGGAGCTTGAAGCCTGACTCCCGTCCACTGTTGGAGTAGAAGGAACCGTTTTCCTCAAGCTTTCAAACCTCTTGGCCTCCCCTCTTCTTTTAGCGGACTCAACCCTGACACCAAGATCATAACCATGCCCGGCCTTCTTCCCATCCCCTGTTTCCCCCACCTTCTTCCTCTTCAACCTCTCGTTCCTTCTCGCGGAGTACTCCTCATAGAACCTTCCCCTTTCAAACAAAGTACTCCTATTAACACTCATGCTAGTACCAACCAAACCAGCGTCAGCCCAGTCTGCGCTGGAAAACTCCTGATGCACCATTTCTGCCAAAGCCCTCAATTCACAAGAAATGGTACGGTACTCTGGGCGAACACCCAATTCCAGTTCTTCAATCTCACAAGCACCTTTAGGCAACTGGGATTTCGTTAAAGAACCTGGTGGGGTTTGGATGGTGTTTGTATTGGACTGAAGAGGACGGCGAGGTCGAAGGCGAAGGTGGATTGGGGATCTGGCCAGTGGAGGCTTGCGAGATGATGGCATCATCTTGTTGGAGGTGAAAAATGATGATCTAACGCTTCTGTTAAGTACTACTTAGAATAGTATGAACCTCGAGAGATTATATATGGTTGTTCCAATTGAACCCTCAACCAAACATGGCAAAAACGTTGAACTGGGATAATAATTAAGGGTTTGTTTTAAAAACATTAGATATTCAAGATTTCTTGTGTGTGTGGATTTTTTTGCAGGGAACTCAGCAAATATAGTGGACGGAAACCTGAGTGCTCTGAGACAGAGAATTGAGACGGTGAGGATGAAAGAAAAGCCGAAGACATGCTTCAGACATGAAAAGAGCAGTTGAAACTGTAAGGCTGGATATGATGACACGTACAAGAGACGTGTTCTGTTGGTCCACTCCTTAAAAGTTGCGGCTTCTGTTGGCAGCACACTTGTCCTTGTCTTCTTCAGTGGCTCTGTTTTCATCTTCCTTTATTCTTATTCAATTTTGTATCCATACTTCAGAAATGGACACTAATTCTTGATGCTCCAGAAATGGTCTAATCTGAACTCATCTTTAATCCTATCTTGAAAACGTGTCCGAACACCTATCTAGACTAGAGTCAGCCGGAGAGGATAAATTCTCAGTCATGCGAGGCACAATGCATGCATATAAATAGCGGACGTTGCAATTCTTTCATTCATCTCTTTTTTCATCGAGAAAAAGCTCCTGCTAACCATCTCTTCTTTTGTCGAGAAGAAGTAAATTTTGAGTGATACTTCTTTCATCTCCTGCTTACCATTTCATCATGGCTGCTGGTCAGAGACCTAATTTTTCTTACAATCTCTTTCAAGTGGGGGGCTACTTGGGAAATCCCCCGAGTTTTTTGGTCCGAAAGACGGTGCGCAAGAGTGACAGAAACAAACTATTAATTTTCGGAGAGGCTAGAGAGTTTATCACTTACCCTTCTCCCAATTTTAACATGGATGAGCTTCGTAGCACCGGAAGTCCTGTTTTAGTTTGAACGACGGCAGAAAATATCAACTGTGTGGTAAAAGAAGAAAGTAATATAAAGTGCATGATGATTGTTGGCTGGCCGCAGCTGAGAGATGCCTTTGGCTTGGATGTGGATTCGACGATCAACATCTTTGGCTACCATGCACCAAGAAGAAAGTAATGGTGTTGGTGTATGGTATATGAAAATATTGATCGTCGAACCCACACCCAATCCAAGGGCATCTCTCAACTGTGGCCAGCCAACAATCATCATGCACTTCATATTACTTTCTTCTTTCACCACACAGTTGATATTTCCTGCCGTCGTTCGAACTAAAACAGGACTTCCGGTACTGCGGAGCTCATCCATATTAAAATTGGGAGAAGGGTAAGTGATAAACTCTCTAGCCTCTCCGGGAATTAATAGTTGATTTCTATCACTCTTGTGCACCGTCTTTCGGACCAAAAAACTCGGGAGATTTCCCACGTAATCCCTCACTTGAAAGAGATTGTAAAGAAAATTAGGTCTCTAACCACACAAATGGTGTTGGTGATTGTACCGGTAAAATAATGTCAACTCTACATTTCTTACGCTTTCCCATTCTTGTGAGTTGAAAATCTTATCAAATTATATTTCTTCAGGACGAACAAGGTGCAGCAGCTGGTGGGACTGGTGAAGCAGTTGGGGAAGCTGGTGAAGCAGCTGGTGAAGACTGAAGTTAGTAAGCTTCGGATTCTGCTCTGTATGGGTTTTCTTTTCTCTATGAGAAACGAATAAAGAAGAGAAAACGAAGTGATCTTCAGCTCTGTATGGATTTGTATCGCTTTCTGTTACATTTCTTTTTCCATGTCCTCTAAGAAAAAGCTTCTTCCTTTTCAATAAAATTAACGTCTTTTTGGGTCCAAGCAGGGGCCGCAAACTAGTAAAGTTTTCCAAGCCAATAAATTCTTGTCTCCTTTGGTCAATGAGAGTGGTCCAATACCGACCTAATGAACAAATAAAAAGGCCAATTTGGGACTTGTAAGGCAAGATTAGCGGCTGTCATGACAATGATCTTCAACAATGAAAGCCTTAAGACCCTTTTTTATTTTTAATAATGTGTGCGAATTATTTCTCATGAATCCAAATTTGTGATCTTCTTCATTTATATATAGAGCCTTAATATAGAGACCAAAAGACAAAATCACCTAACAATTGCAAAATTTTCCTGGCAGGTATATGAGGCATGCCACTTTCAAAATTGTTATATTTTTTTCATTATTTGTCGTTTAATTTCTGTCATGAATCACACTATCTTGTTGATCACATAATTAACACGTTAATCTACTCTATCAATGAGGTAAAATTAACTATGTGTAAAAGTGTTTCTTTTTTCAGCCTATCACTTCCCATATGGTGAATCCACCAAATCCCCAAAAGACCATTTCATTGCTCTATGATTTTTCCCTTATCTTCTTTCTATGCCTAGTTTACAAAAATAAATGACCGGAAAAACATAACTAAACATATTCTAGCTAGAGTTTAGCCCGCAAAAGAACCCAAAAAAAGAAAAAAAAAATATTTGAAAGGTCCATAGCCATAATTTGCCGTTTAAGAATTAAATAATCTGCTTGCATTAGAAAAAGTTAATCTGCCATCTCAAATCTTTCAAAACTGATCAAAAGAGCACTCACTATCTTTTTCCCTTGTATCTCATTAAAGCCCTTCCCTTACAAAGTTGCTAGGAATTCATTATACCACTTAAGTTTGACGAAATTTTAATTAATAAACATATGTGAATTGACACAAAGCGTCATTTGGATCGAATTTCCAGTTTTAAGTGTTTAGTTGAACTGGTAAGTTGAATTGGTAAGTTGGTCTATTTTAGAAGGCCAAATTCAAATTCACCTTTTTTTTTTTTCTAATGCACCCAATCCATTTCATGGCCAAGAATAGAGTGCACAGAAAGATCACTCGGGTAGTAACACTTTTATAACAAACCTTATGCTATCAAGCTAGAAATGAAATTAAATACTGCTTTTGACAAAAAAAAAAAGAAAAAAAGTGGCAAGGAATAAATTATGATGTTTCCGCTATGGCACTATTTTCGTCTACATATTCGGGATCCTTTATTAGTTGAAACCGAGAAGCTTTGAGGCAAAAAATTAATTATTGCTTTTTGATTAAAGCTTTTTTTTTTTTTTGGGTATTATTTGAGATTATAGCTGATATATATAATCCAAGGCCTCCTTCAAAAGGCCCCTTGAAATGCAAGTGACCTTCCAGACAAAAGTGTTGTTGGATTTTTGGTACAGAATGTACGAAGATTTTGTTTTTGTTTTTGTTTTTTAGTTTTTATCTATAACCCTCTTGACAAGAGTGAACATCGCCTTATTAGCTCTGATGGTAGAAATTGAGGAATTGACCTGTAAACCGTGTTCAATTTGTGTGCATTTGGCTTCGAAATAGTTATTGGTTATTCGGCCTTAAGAAAATTTGGGGACTATTTAATGCAAAAGAATGCTTTAAAACCACAAATTAACTAAATGGGGTGAACACAAAACCGGTAGTTTAATACTTCAATATATTATCTCCATTGATCCAAATTTTAGAGTTGATGAAAGTACATAAGTAGTCAACATTTTTATTTATCTTTAGATACTCAAACATCCCTTCTTCATTTGCTGGCCTTCTCCTTCGCATGCAGGTCAGAAAAGTAGCCCTTTGGATCGCTCTCAAAGCCAGTCCTTGATATATATGCACCATCACCACCCGGAGCCTTCATGATCAGATCATTGTTGCCACCTTTGTTAGTCCCACCACCACTGCTATTGCCACCACCAGCTCCTGCTGCGCCTGCTCCAGTTTCTTTGCTGCAACCCTTGTTATCCATCTCCAAATGCTCTTCAATCTTGATCACTTAAACAATAGTAGTAATTGTTGAAGTTATTACACTTTTGATGCCGATACTTCGATTGGATGATGAGTGGGGTTTATATAGGCATAATTTGATTAGGATGTATTTAATTTCTGCACTTGAAATGATAAATTTTTCTTGTGAATTTAAGAGTCAAATGCATGACTGCAGGGGGAAACTAATTTGACTACACGGATTTTTTACCATATGAGTTATGACATCTAATTCAAGGAATTTGTACTCTTTTTTCGAGATATTTGGGGACAAAGATTAATCCTTAAAATTTTGAACGTCATTCCCCCTTAGTTTTCTGTTCAATCTATAGTCCAACTAAGAATCTGAAAAACGAACTACAGATCATTAGGGAATTTATATTATAAGGTTCCCGGAAGAAAAGGGAAAAAATTTATTTTCCATATGCTTTTATCTGTGTAATAATCTTTAAAATTTTCGAAAAAATCACTTTGTGAAATATGAGAGACTGTGGATCGGATAATGTGAAATTTAATTTAACAATTTTAACCCTAAAAAATGATCATGTGGAAAGCACGTGGTCTATTCCGACTAAAAACTATTCAAAAACTTAGGTAGGGATCAAATTTGACCGATGTAAATTTGTAAAAGACGTAAAATTACACTTTTAAAAGTGAGGGATAAAAAAGTCATGTTGCAAAATATAAGAGACGTTTTGAATCATTTTTCTAACATTTTTTAAGACTTTACTTTTGTAAGGAGGGAAAAAAGAATTTTCTTAGACCTTATAAGATGTTTTGTACTTGTAGATAGTTATGCATGGCAGTGAAGGTGAAAAACTTTCTCTTTGGTTTATTTATTTGTTTAATGCGCTTTGATGGTAACAATTGAAATTTGTAGTGTCATACTTCTGATTTAAATTTTACTACTCACACTTACTAAGGCAGTTTTAATTAATTCCCATGAGATGGTATTGCTTGGTGTTGGCAGTCAAGGAAAAACTTTTTTCGTTAACATTCTTTTTCATATTCATTTAAAGGGAAGACTGATCTTTGCCTAGAATTCATAGAATTTAAAGACTATGCATTCTCTAACATCTAATAGTAGTGTCTTCTACGGAAAAAATGACAAAAGTTTCAAAGTTAACATGTAATTGCTCAGTGGCCACCATCGAAATTGGTCGAATGGGAGGTTAGGAGATCAAACCTTACCTCCCACCATGGGGCCCGAAAAATGTGGCAAGCCAAGGTTCAGTCCCCTCCGGTTTCTGCTCGTATACATATATATGCTATGCCTCAAGAAAATTGAGTAGATATCAAACTGAAAAAAATGCTAAGAAATAAGTTGCTTGTAGGTGGCCATTGGAGGTAGTCATATGACCATATTTGCATGTAATTATGATCTAAAACTTAATCAAGCGAGTCGGAAGTGCTCTCCAAATTAAACTATCTTTCCAATAAATTCCATTGCTTTTTATGGAGTAATTGCTAAAGAAAAAAATACCAAAATTGGAAAGCAAAAAATCCACTTACTACAGATAGTTTAATACTTCAATAAAATTTTCGTTGATCCAAACCATATGGAGCTGACAATTCAACATAGATCTGATGTTTATTTACAAAATTCTAACATTTTGTTCAATGTAAAAGTCCATTTGTCCCTCTGGCTACCATGTACGCCCGAAATGTAGAGCTGAGGATTTGCCTCAAATCCGGCTCTTGAAATATATGACCTATCATCACCCGGTGCTTTAATAAATCCACCGCCGGCACCACCATTGCCTCCGCCCTTAGACAAACCACTGCCACAAGAACTTCCGCTCCCTCCTCCGTTGTCTCCACCGCTGTTGCCGACAGAACTGCCACCTTTGCCACCCATTCTCAAGTTGCCATTTAGGTAACAAGTTTGAAGTAATGCAGTAGTATAAATTGTGGTTCATTATCCAGATGATTATATCTCCCATCCTACTCCCAGACAAAAAAAGGCAACGATTCGTAAGTAGGATGCTGAGTTAATTTTGTTAACCAGTGTTTTATTTTGGTTAAGATATTTATCATTCATGCTCTAGAATTAGAAATTTCAATTTAATCAATTTAATTTGATCATAGAGCAGTCGCTACAAAAATTCTTTTTGGTTTTATCCAATTCAAGTTCGTAAAATTACACTAACCTCCACTGAAGTTAAGGTTTTGGTAACAAAATCAGTCAAAATTAGAAAAAAAAAAAAGCATTAAAAAATTACTTTGAGAAGAGAGATAAAACTTTTATTCAACAAATACCCTTTATGCTTGTGTACAACTTGTATTGTAAAGGAATGAAAAACATATTAATAAAAGCAAGGGAATGTAAGTATAAATAGCAAAGAACCAAAAATAAGTACCAACTAAATTTCTCTACAAAGTTAGATCAACAGCTAGTGCATTGGATTATAATGTCTATTTTTTTATCTTTACCATTTTGCATATTAAGGCAACAAGGAGCATTAAGATGGATCTCATTTTCAGTTCAAGCAGCAAAATTTGAGGTGGAAAAACAGTGATTTTCTGTGGATTTCGCAAGTTGAAGGTAAAGTGTAGGTGTAGAAACTATAGCCTTGTCAAACTACAGGAGGAAATCATAAAATTCACCCACAACCTTTAGCATCAAAAACAAATATTGCAAGTTTAATTGTAAGGCAACTGTGAAGATTTTTAAAAGTACAAAATATCCAGAAAAATTACTATTTGGTGTCTCAATTTTTAAGAGTGAACAAATATTTGGTACATCAATTAGCACCATTTTGAAATTGCAAGTTATTGCTCATCATTTCAAAAGTTTTCTAATAGCTATTTTCATTAATTAGTTAATAACAGTTAATTACTACCCTAATTACTTAATTGCTAGATGTTAGTTTTCAATAAGACATAATATCTTAGGGTATATGAGTAATTTTCCTCTAATAAAACACTATAAAGGAGGTTAGTGTTATTTTGCAAATCTCAAGGGAGGCTAGTGAAATTGTTAGAAACCTCAAGAGAGGTTTATGAAATTATCCTAAAAATAATAGAGAGACACAAGAGTAGTATGACAATTTACTATGCCACAGAATTCAAGTAACAAGGACTGGCTTTGAGAACGATCCGAAGGGCTACCTTTCTGATCTAAATGCCTATCCCTAAACAACATGTCTATGCAAAGATAATAACGATTTGGATGACATTTTTGTCTTAATCATCTGATTACCTGTCACATGCAGGGCTAAGCCAATGATATGCCACTGGAACTTGGAAGGATTCAGCATAATTAAAGATAAATATGACATTAATGTCAATCTAATGCAGAGTCTACAAATTCAAACTGGTGCCAGGGCATATGATGAAGTATAGGATGATGACAATTTTATGGATGGAGCATGGATTGAAAAGTTCGGTTTCAAGACAAACTGAGAATTCAAGGGACAAATAAAGTCATATATAAATTTTGTTCATTTTTTTTCTTTTTATAGCTATACAAATTCAACATAGAGAGGACGAGAGCAGGTCCAAATTGCGAGTACAAAATTGTCATACCATCATGACTCCAATAGAAACTATCAGTGATCTAATCCGGTTAACAAACCACTAAGCCTAGCTCCCTAGCTAACGGGGAGGGATTTAAGTCCTTCATTGGATTGTAGATGGCGGGATCAAATCCCACCTGTCACCAAAAAAATTCATGGCACCGTCTTTGGTCTAGTCAGATTTGCACTTTGCACATCTATTAGTTCCTAACACACAAACCTCCTTAGGCTCCCTTTTCCTATAGATTAGGATAGAATAACAAAATAGTACTCCCTCTCTCCTATTTTGATAGTTTTAGTTTTTTTTTTGAAATAGTTTAAAAAAATTAATTAACTTTATCTAAAGAGTGCATCTAGTCTATTATTTTTCTAAAATACCCCTTACATTAATATTAATAGTATAACTAAACATTATACCTTTACATTAGTGGTAACAACAATATTGATGAAAAGTTGCACCATTCAAGCCATGAATCAAAACAATTAATGAATAACGTAGTTTATATTCACTGATAATAAAGTACACTAAATAAGGACATTTTAGAGAGATTAAAAGTTAACTATATTTTTTAAACTGGAAAGTAGAATATAATTTGGGACGGATAAAAAAAGGAAAACAAAAATATCAAAATGGAAAGGAGAAGACAGTATTTAGACAAATTCTCATCAAGGGTTTTGCGTGTCATTATCCGCAATAATTAGAACTCAATTTTAACTCTCTAATTGTATATTATGTAGGCAAAAATACAAGGTTCTTTGAACTCGACTTATTTTTAACAAGTAATGGAGGCACAAACAATTAGTAAGACCTTACTTATACAAGGCCACTTTTACAAAAAGCCGAAGTTAACATGCTTACTGGCAGTGCATGTTTCACCTCCTTCTTTTGGATTAGACTATTTAACACTGGAAGTAAGGACAGCTTTGTTTGAAAAGGGAAAACTAAAATAACTAGGAAAAAAGAATATATAATTAAGGGTATTTCTCAACACATTTAATATTCACATAACCTAGTATACATGTACACATATTAACAATTATTAACTTTTCTTGCATTTTTATACTTTTCCTAGTTAATATTGTCTGCCCTCCCTTTGTATTTATTTACTTTTCCTAATTAATCTTATATTTTAAAAAAATATGATAACTAATATGCATCTTAACGGTTGCCCCATAGACAAACCCTATAATGAATTTCATTTACCTGGAAAAGGAAAGCAGATTTGTGATTAAATAACAAGAGGATTTAAACAACGGGAGGAAAAAATTGGACCTAGTATCCATTTGGACAAACAAAATCCCACTTCATATTCCCCCTTGGATGTTCAAATGGAGCTCTCTTACTGGACCAGTCCAAAATAAAGTTTCTGGACAATTACCTTATAGTGGCAAAAGTGTTGAGTTACACACTCTGAGTCCTATATCTATCGTAAACTAGTCCCTAGCCCAAATAGTTGTAGTGTTCGTTTTGAAATCGAATTTGTGACTGAGTAAAACATGGAAGGATTTAAATGACAAGGCATAAAATTAGGACACTTAGCTTATTATGGCAATAATATTTCTAGGTGATACTCAGAATCCTCAATGAACTCAAACCAAGAGACCTATAACTCACCAATTTGTAACGCTCCCAGGGGCCTCCCCACAAACATGGGCCCGTGCAATTGGTTTTGGACATGTGCCCTCCACGGGAGAGTACAAAGTTGTGAGAATGTTTACTGCCGAAATTGCGACTGGGACGATATGGACAGTGATTTCAGTTGTGAAATTTTTAGCATTAGACGGGAAGCCAATTGTTATTCATCATCAGGTTCTTGGAGAGTCATAAATCAATCCAAATGCCCATATCCAATTCGTAATACCGCTGTTTTTGTTAACGGACGTCTTCACTGGGTAGTCAATACTGAATGTCCTTTTCCACCAGATCATGATAATGCCATAATTTTCTTCGATTTGGCTAGTGAAACTTTTGGGTATGTCCCCCATCCTCCGGATTACGAGCATGAACATGAAAGTTCCATTTATGTGTTGGATTTGGCAGGTAACCTTAGCCTACTTAATTTTGAAAAGCATGAAAATCTGATCCGACTATGGATGCTTGATGATTATGACAAAGGCATCTGGACCGAAACGCATAACATCATGTTAGACCCTCTGACTAGGGATGACGGTATCAGCTTGAAGTTTATGGTGGGCAGGGAATTACTGATGGCACCTTGGCATTGTAAATACAGACTCTACTACAACATTGACACGCGAACTTTTAGAAGAGTTGAAAAGCCTGAGCCTGCAGGATCTCGTGGGTGCACTTTTGGATACTACTGGAAAGCTATGAAGATCTGTTAGGAATCTTGGAATTCTTTTCGTTTTTTTTTCCCCTAGTTTATCTACTTTGGTTGTTTTTTTTTATTCCCTCCTTTATGAGGATAGCAATACACTTTTGCCATGCTTAATATATATATTAATTCTTGTGTTCATAAATGTTTTTGCCAATTTACTTAAAGATCATAGAGACATGATCAGTTGAGTTTTCTAACTAGTCGCAACACAGATAAATTGCATATAAGCCCTTATGATTTTTCATGTATCCGCATCACACCCTCCCCTCTCCCTTTCAAGATTTCAGAATGACTGCATAACTCCCTATGATTTTGACACTCCAAAAATTTGTGTGATGGAATCATAATATCCACTTAACCTTTTTTTTTTGATAAATTGGGGGGGGGGGAGGGTTTGAATTCAGAATTTCTTATTTATAATCTCTCCTACCTTACCACTCAATCCAACTCTTTCCCCTTCCCCCCAGTTATTAATAGTAATCAATAACAAATAAATAAATCAACTAACATTGTTGTTTATATATATATTTTTTAGTTGCAAAACAACTTGTTAACTTTTCTTTCTTTCATCATTTATATCATCGAAATTAGACCCCTTTATTTGTGTGACCCTATAATTGGTTTTGGATATGTATTTCCCACAGGAGAGCATGAAGTGGTATTACTACAAAATCTGCGTATGGAGACGCTGTCAAAGATGATTTAGGTTGTGAAATCTTCGACATTTGACATAAAGGTGATAATTATTCACCATGAGATTCTTGAAGAGTGATTAAGGGATCCCCGTGCCTGTATCCCATTTCAAATTACGCTGTTTTTGCTGATGGATGTCTTCATCGGGTAATCAATAGCAATTGTCCTTCTCCACACCTTGATAATATGTCCTTTGGTTTGGCAAGTGAGACTTTTCGTTATTTCCCTCGTCCATCAGATTACGAGCATGAAAACTTAATACCCTTTGTTCTGCTGGATTTTGGGAGGTTGGTTGAGCCTAATTAATT